CTGGGAAAGCAGGCAGTTGGCCAAACCACTGTGAGGAAGGGGAGGGGGAACTCAATTGTTTCTAAATGCATTTTTTGCGTTTGTTTTTTTTTTCTACTTAAAGAATTATTTTAGATATACATAGATATATTTTTCACAATAGATAGTGCGATTTTTTTGGGTGGGGACAACCCTCGGATAGGGAGGGACATGTCCCCTCCGTCCCCCCCGGGATTTACGCCCATGCTTGAGACAGGCAATGCAAGCCATGCATGGAAATTGAGAAATGAATGGAGATCTATTATACACAGTGACACCCATCTTATGTAGTGTAGTATCATAGCAGTTGAAGAAACTAAATTTTTTTAAGTTGGTCAAACAAAATAGGAATAGTTGGCTTATTTACTGGTAAGATGTGGTAAGAGATTACAAAAAATAAGAAATACACTAAAATCTTTTAAAAACCAGAAATTAGCACCCATGGTTTATATGCATTTTCATAAAACCTCAGTAAAACAAGGTCCTGTTTGGTGTTGGCCAGGTGGTAATAAGCTTCGATTCCTAGTAGGGTGCATTCTGTGGTGTGAGTTAAGGCTTCGCTGGAAGAGGAGGTTGGCTGGTATGAACAGTCATGCATTCAAGTGACTCACTCTAACTATTCAAAGTACAGTAAAATGATGGGATGTTGCTGTCCTGGGAAAAACATTTCTTGTAAACTGCAACAGAGCATTTATGTCAGCCTTTAACTTGCGCACAAGTCTATGATCTTAAAAACCGTCTTATTTTAACTGAACTACCAGTCAGTTCACATATGAAGAAATAGGTATCAACTGAAGGAAAAGAAATGGGGGTCAGTTAAATTAAATCAGTTATATGAAGTGAGGGGGTAGCTGACAGAAAAGTAGTAATTTCGATTATTGATATGTATAAGTTTTACTTTGACTTGTGCATATGAGAATATGAGGCAAGATATGAAACCTGCCGGGGGCGTACAGCTGGGTAAAAAAGAGACCAAGGATAAAAATACATCTACATCTTTCTGTGTCCACTTAAGAGGTTAGAATGTAAAAAAAAAAATCCCGAAGATTCTACCTAGAATTATGCTTTCATATATTCATTTTAATTTGAAAGTCAGGAAATATTGCTTATAAATCAAAACAGAGAAAACTCGTGTTCATAACGTCGCGATGAAACTCCTATTTTTGCAGGACGGTACGTCAGAAAACAATTACAATTCTATCCACCAGATGGCGATTTTTTGACGAACTAGGATGTCACGTGAAGAAGGATTTAATTGAAGAAAAGCACTTTAATGAACGTATACAGGGGCATGAATACAGTTTCAGGTGGGCGAGCACTTGACAGGGACCGCTGAATATGTCAAAATATACGTCAAATTTGGTGGGGGGGTTGGAGAGCAAGGTGACATTGTCTCAGGGGGCCCAGAATTTCCAGGTGTGCTGCTGATTGTATAACAGGCCTAGTATTATCAAAGGCTACACTGCACTGGACTTAAACATATTTAACTACCACTGCAAACAGGAATAGACAGAGAATGACAAAGCAGCACATAAAAACTGACTGTCAGACAGGCGCGTCGGTACATCATTTTAGCCATTGTATTAAATATAATGTAGATCCGGTTTTTCTGGTTGACCTGAAAATAGGAACCCTGAACAATTTCTCCCACATTCCAAAAGACACACTTGAACACTCTAAGCTTCAGTTTACACTAAGTAGGAAGTAGTCAGATTTACCGCGTTTAATTTAGAAAACAACGCAATTATTTTACGTTTTGTTTATTAGCCGAATACTCAATGTTGCTGTTTACAAATGGGCGTCTTTTCGTGTAATATGTGGGAGAAAGTTTACAGAGGACGAAATGGCGGAAATCGCGATTATTGGCAAAATAGATGAGTTAGATGCAGCAGTTACGTAAATCGTACTACTTTAATATATAGACCTTCAAACTTGAAGTTGAATACTAAAAGCATACACTTTTATTTACATGCAGATGTGTCCACTTTAGGACTTGTTTACTAGCAATTCATCTGTCATCCCAGTACTGGGTAAGTCATTATAAATTCGTGTAGGTTAATTGTTTTCCACCTTATCACTGCTTTGGCAATTTATATGCTAAAGCTGTCATATTGTTTTTTTTCATAATTTAATTATTTAGAATCTATATTGTACAGTGTTGTAGGTTTTTCATTAAGCTGTTAATCTTTTTTTCCCTCTTCAATTAGCCTGTATGCGATTGTAATTAATATCTCTCCCGATCTCCCTATAGTCATTAATTTTTAGTAGCCAGCGGCTTGTTAACCCAGTCACACTGACTGGTCACCGAGGATGCAGTTGTGGCAGACTTGATTTTTGTATGAAGAAGATCGACCATTTTACTTTAATTTTGGCTCCTTTATTTTGGATACATGCACATCATTTGGTTATCGTTGTCATTGAACTATTCGGAATTTGACCGGATATACAAACACTATTCTTTTTGTTTCGAATGCAAAGCATATACATATTTTCTGGTTTCTTGATGGCTTAAACGTTATAGCCTCTGTAGGCTTTTATAATAGACCCACGTATTGCAGTCCATGTTTTCTGTTTTGGTTGTGGCTGGAACGTAAAGGGAGTCTAACCGCAGCGGCAGTCAGCCACCTTTCCACCTGGCAGTATGGAAATTATGTACCGTAACTCTATACACGCTTTGAAGCGCTTACCCTGGTGTATTTGCATGCCTGGCACAGGAACCGTTCGGCACACTATATTACTGGATGCTTTTATCTATTCAGCTTCTTTAGGAAAAATAATAGATGTGTGGCTTAATAATGAAAAGTATGAGAACAAGAGCTGGGAAGATGGAGAAATCTTGAACGGGATGCTGTATGAGGAGAGAGGTGGGGAGTTCAGAGAGGATCGAGGGGGCAAAGGTCAGTTATAAAGCAATGATGAGAGTGGGAGGAGGAAGAGATATTTATCCATGCAGGAAGATGGAGGGGACAAAACAGGTACAGCTTAAATGGTGCAGCAGTCTCCTTAAAAAGGTACCGTATACTGGGGTTATTTTGAAATGTCTTACTATTTCTTAACTGTTTAAATATGAAAAAACTATATTCAAACTTAGAGGGGAAGTATGAACAATGTTTCACTTTAAAAAAAAAAAGGTAAAGCGGAAACGTCAAACTGATAGAGATGTAGAGATGGCACAAAGGAGGCAATGAGAAGATAAAAATATTTACACTGTGTCAGCAGGACCAGCGTCACCCTCAGCGCTGGTTCTCAGGCTCTCATAGAACCGGGCCAATCTCAGAAATAGCATGGATCAGTTGAAAAGAACGATGAGAGTTGTGGGTTAGAGTGTAACAAAGAAGACAGTTTAACATCTCAGAGAAGAGCTGCAAAATTGAAGGAATATAACTTAGAATTATACAGTGGAGCTTGCTGATGTAATTGCCAGATTTTGAACCAAGTCTGTGCTTTCTGATATATGATCTGCAAGGTCAGGGGCACCCCTGTTTGACTAGGTATGTGGACAAAGAAGTTAGATCGGTGCTGATCACTATGGTGGAAATGGTTATTCTGTACATTAAAGAAGGTCAAAATGGAGCTGTATGATGTTGGTGATTGATTTTATTTAGCTTTACTTATTTTGGCACTTCCTTTTGACAGATTATACAATATCTACATGCCAGTCATAGCAGTAGCAGCACTTCCTGTCACGCAAGCAAACCATCGCTGGGACCTTGGTGGAATACAATAGATTTTTCTGTGCACTTTTCTGCTTCACAGTGTGACTGTGGTTTTTAAGGTCAGACGATCACTGCCTCATCACCTACATTGGCCTCCCATTTAAATTATTTTTTTAAACTGTTCTTGATCTGTTGAGAGAGAAGATAATCGCTGACCTTCACAACACCTCTGTCTGTATTTGCGCCGAGTGTTTATAAAATGGAGGTCAGGCAAGAAGATGGTGATTGCTTCAGTGATAAGGAGATGGTACTTCCCCCTGGAGGGGATGAACATGGGGAAGGTGAGGCAAGACCTTTGGGACATTCCCCTACACAGACTGCCAGCGACATCCTTGCCAGTGCCAAAAATAAGCCCGAAGGCACAGATACTGCTCTCGAAGGAAGAGGAACACACTCCAGACCTCAACAAGACGCCAAGCTCAGCAATGGCAATGCTACGTTTGTGGATCCTAGAGGAGAGACACTTTTGGGTATTGCCACTTCAGCTAAAGTCAACACAGACATGACGGAAATGACTGCTCTCACTAGCAATGCAAGTAGCAAGTCGGACTCATGTGATGGCAGCATTCATTGCAGACCTACAGCCAGAGAGAATAGCGTAGCATCCGCAACGGACCTTCCATCCCCGACGGAGAGCGCCGGAGACGAGGAAGGCAGGAGTCGGCGAACACGTCCCTCCTGCTGCCAGCCGCTAGGGCGGTTCCTGGCGGTGTTACGGCGTGGTCTGCGGGCTGTGTACAAGGGCTGCCTGCATGCCATAGAGGAGACGCCCACAATGCTGGCCGGACTGCTACTCACCATCATCTTCTGCATAGCTGTTATTGTCATCTTTGCTGCCACACACAGGGTGAGAGACGTGAAGGATGTCTGAAGGACTGTGCCACTGCCAATTTACCTTTTGTACTCAGATGGTGTATATACACATTATATACAATAGCATGTACATCTCATAACTTCCTTAAATTATGCCATAATGTGCTGTAGTGTGTGGTCAGTGATACGGTTGGGGCCATTCCGGAATACACTTATCAATTCCAATCCAAATCAGGAAATGGAACTGGAGTTGAGATTAGGAAAAAAATTATGGGGAATAGGATTGGAATTGAATTTGAATTTCGGGGAGATTTAAATTCCAACTCCAGTTCCATTTCCTGATTTGCACAGGAATTCATGAATGCATTCCAGAATGGCCCCAGCCCTGGTCAATGATCACTATGCTGCAGCATAACATTTATTCATCGTATTTTGTTTGTCTCCCCCGCCCCCCACCCCAGAATGTTCATGTGCATGTAGGAGAACTGGCAGTGGTTAGCGTGGTCCTGTGCGTGTGCACTGGTCTGATGGTGGTGTTACCTTGGCTAGCGGTGGTGCGGCGCTGTGGGGGATCCCTGGCCCTCTTTGTTTGGGCGTTACTCTACATCATCGCCATCGTCTTCATCTTTACCGGTGGTGTCATTGCCGCCTGGGAGCAGGTCAGATGCACCCTGCAGATGCAGAATGTTTTTTTTTTGGGGGGGGTCTGGTCTGGTAGACAATGACACAACAGAAGGGTTAGACCTGGGTAGGGTGGACTGCGTTACCCAGAATGCTATAAATGCATGTATGAATGATTAATCTGTTGAAGGCCTTGAGTAGCTTCCCCTCATGAAGTGTCTGCCTGGTACTTCACACAACTTCTTTATCTCTCCCTTCCTCTCCTCTCCAGGTTGCATTCTTCCTCTTCCTCTCTCTCTCCGTCTATACAGTACTCCCTCTCTCCCTCACCTGGGCTCTTGTGTTTGGGTTGGGCACCAGTGCATCTCACATCATCATCATCAGCGTCTACGTGCCCGTCACCAGCCCCAAAATGGCCGACCTGGCTCCGCAGGTGAGGCACGTTGGGTTGCGTACTCGTACCTCAGCCCACCCTTGGGATTACATGGGCTTCCGGTTTGTCATGCCACAGGTAAAATACACATGCAAACTAAAGAAGAAGGAGAGATTGTACAGCAGACAATGTGTGGCAAACCACACTGTACCTGCCGCTTGAATAAGCCCGGCACACACGCTCCAAATGCTCCTATTCTGCTAACATCCTACTCTTATTCAAATTGGTTGAAAGTCGTGCAAATATATTTTGCACCCGTCCACATTTTGCATCAGCTGATAGCTGCTTCATGTGATCCAACCCTGCAGTTGGTGGCCAATGGCGTGCTGTTCCTGTGTGTGAACTGCGTGGGTGCTTTCCACCGGCACCTCACAGAGAGAGCCCACCGGAAATCCCGTCGGGAGACCGAGAGGTTCGGTGTGGTCCATTCAAGGAGGGACTTGCAGAAACGGCAGCAGGTATGGGTATACAGACGTGTGCACTATTGCCGGCGTACTACTTACGGTGAAACATGCTAACCGACACCCTTGACCTGGCAGGAGCATCTGCTGTTATCAGTTTTGCCACGATACATTGCCATGGAGCTTAAGTCAGAGATTATCAAGCGACTGTCTGATAAATACCATGGCAGAGACAGCAAGCAAAACTTCCACAGTCTGTACATCCAACAGCACAAGGACATCAGGTACCATCTACCCTTACAAACTCAAACAAACAAATGCAAATTTGCTACTCTTGTTTAATAAGTGCAGCTGCCACATTCATCCACTGATCATTGACTGCAATCTCCTAGCATCCTCTATGCTGACATTGTGGGATTCACCAAACTGGCCAGCACCTGCACACCAGAGGAGGTGGTTGGAGTCCTTAACAAACTGTTTGGTAAATTCGATGACATCGCAAAGGTAAGAAGACGTGGCTTACAAAAATTATTTCTCAGCTGTCAAGCGCTCTCAGCGTCTTTTTCCGCATCATTACTAAGCTCTTTGCGTCTGATTTCCTCTTCTTCTCTCCTTTGCCCACACTCCCTCCCCCTACAGAAAAACGAGTGCCTGCGCATTAAAATTCTGGGGGACTGCTATTATTGTGTCTCAGGCCTGCCAGATCCCATTCCTAGCCACGCCTGCAACTGTGTGCAGATGGGCCTGGACATGTGCACCGCCATCAAGTCAGTGTGCCAACTACCACCATCAGCTGAATCTCACGTGCACCAACCCTCATAGCCGCTTCACCTCTCATGCTCTCCATATGTCTCACAGCAAACTGAGGGAGGCCACAGGGGTGGATATCGCCATGCGTGTGGGCGTGCACTCTGGGAATGTGCTCTGCGGTGTGATTGGCCTGCAGAAGTGGCAGTATGACGTCTGGTCACATGATGTGACTTTAGCCAATCACATGGAGTCCGGCGGTCTACCAGGGTGAGGCATAGAAAATATTAGCTTTGACTTTGAAAGATGAAAGAAGTACATCATTCCCCAGTATTGACACATCATGGAAGGGGTAGCAGCACTCACACATAATTCCATATTTCAGAAGCAAGCTAAGCCTGCAGCGTTATCTCAGCAGTACTTTTCTGATCTCTCTGCTGATGTAGGAGGGTCCATATCACGGAGGACACATTGAGGCACCTGGGTGGGGCCTACCAGGTGGAGGATGGAGATGGGGCCAGTCGAGACCCCTGCCTGCAGGGTAGGAGGACCTACCTAGTCATTGACCCACAAACAGATGGTTCCACCACATGGACATCTAAAGTATGTACATCTCAGCTATTCAGTAGTGTTAAGCAGTATTCTGTTAAGATTGTAATGAACAGCTATTATGTACTTTACCGTACTGCAAATATACTATTCTGCCGATCTCTCTCATTAGTGCGCTGTACTGTTTACTCTCCAGACACTGAAGATGTGCTGCTCTTTCTCTCAGTCTTCCAGGGCGAATGACAGGAGACTCAGGGCTTCGGTCAGGATGTCTCAATACCTGCAGTCGTGGCAGACAATCAACCCCTTCTCCGAGCTGAACCACCCAGTGCAGCCTAAGGCTAGGCCCACTGCCCCAGCCTTTGGCCTCACAGAACCACAACCCACGGTCAGATACTCCCACTAGCTACCTGTATGTGTGTGTGGGAACATGCATGCATGGTTTATAAGGGCCTGCGCGTTGCATATTTGTGAGGGCACGTGTATATGTTTGCATGTGTGTGATGCTCAACACCGGTTTCACGTTTAGTTGTGTTTTTTTTCAGGAGGGACTAGCCCCTCACACAGTCCTGCACAGGTAATTTATTATATCTTCCTACAAATAAAGAGAGAGACTTTAATTCAGTTCAGTTCAGTTCAGTTCAACTTTATTCGTACCCAAAGGTAAATTTGCTTTGCAGTCACAAAAATAACACTATAACACAATCACCATAATTCCACATTCCACATAAAAGACTAATACCTCATTCACTTATGAGGTTCACAATTCTTATATTCTCATAAGTCAACTTCCTTGTTTTGTTTCCAGTATTGACCTGCAGAGAGTGAACTAAGCCACCCTCTTCTTCTGTTCTTCTCCTTCCATTTCTCCCTCTCTCCGTGTCACAGGGAGAACTCCCAGGGAACGGAAGATGGAGTCATTGACACACTGGACTCTCTGGACCCTGAAGAGTGAGTCTGTTTACAGTCTGGGTCATGTGACCTTCTCCTAAGAAAGACATTGAAATGCATTTGAAATACAACATAAAGTTCATTTGAAAATATTTTTGATTACTCTGGATTCAGCTAAAAACCACAAGAGATTCTAACTTGTCTATCGCCTCTCACTCTTTCTCAGGGAGATGTGGAGGAAACAGAAGTTGAACTGGCTCACTCTGCTGTTCAATAACTTTAAAACGGAAAGACAGGTGAGAATCGCATGGGTGTTCCCAATTTCATGTATTTTATGTGGCTTTAATACAGTATTTATAGTGTGTTAGGAATGCATCAATAACTAATAACACCGCGTCGACAGTAGTCCTAGCGCCCAGCTATGTGATGGTACATAAACCTGAGCCGATTGCATGGTTGGTCACCTTGCCTGTGTTGCAGTACCGGCTGTCGGAGGTGGGGGAGCTGCACTTGTCTGTCGGCTGCCTGGCTCTCATCTTTGCTACCCTCTTTGTGGTCCAGATGCTGGTGTCAGCAAAGTAAGTGGAACCACCTCACATAGCCCTGTCAGCCCTGTCCAGCACTGGCGGGACGGGAGGGAGGGGTAATGCTTGTTGATATGGTCGATTTCTGCTTCGTTCTACTGTCGTATGACTTGCTATGCAGACCATTCTCAGTCTGTAAGGATTCTCAATCTAGCTACAGGATAACAAGTAGTTCTGAGATTTTAATAATAAAATTAATAAAATTAATCACTTTTGGGGTAACATGGTGGTGCAGTGGTTAGCACTGTTGCCTCACATCTCTGAGACCAGTATTCAAGTTTCCGCCATGGCCCCATGTGTGTGGAGTTTGCATGTTTTCCCCGTGTCATCATGGGATTTCCTCCAGGTGCTTTAGTTCCCCCCCCCCCCACAGTCCAAAAACATGCTGAGGTTAATTGGAGTTACCAAACTGCCCATAGGTGTATAAGTATGCGACGAGTTGCTGCCCCATCCTGGGTTGTTCCCTGCCTTGCACCTGTAGCGTAGATAAGCTCCAGACTCCTTGTGACCCTAAATTAGATAAATGGTTACAGGACATGGATGGGTGGATGGACAGACAGACATCTTTCTGCAATAGGAAAGCAGGAATATGATGCACTGTGATACTCCTACAATGCATAAAATGTGTGCAGCTTCCTTTTTAAGAGATCAAATTGAGTAGCATCATGAATGGTAACTTCCAGTGTAAGATTATCTGTGTTCCAGGCAATGCAGCTAAGTCCCTTTATCTCTCTCTCTCTCTCTCTCTCTCTCTCTCTCTCTCAGGAACACTGCCATAGCCGTGTCATATGGTGTCACCTTTCCCGTGTTTGTTATTCTCCTCCTCATTGTCTTCACGGGGTACTTGAAGGTAATGCTATGTGCAGGGGTGCAGTAGGGGCATGGATGTCCTGGGAGATTCAGGGGGGCCAGCATTTTACAGGGGACCTTGAATATGTAAAATTATGCATAAAGTTGGGAGGGGGGAACTCCTGATGACACTTTGTCAGGGGGGCAGATTTCCTAGCTACGCCCTTGGTTATGTGTCACACTTTACCTCTGCAGCATTGCACAGTAGCGCTGGGATTTGGCTTCCACATTATGTTATACCTTTGTAAATGTGTGTATTTGTTTGCACGTGTGTTTGTTGGTAGCGATGGAGATCCAAGATGCCTCAGGGTGTTCAGTGGGTTCCCTCGCTATCTCAGGGAGTGGCCAGCAGGGCGGCGCTACGGCTGCTCTTGGTTTTCCTCTGTGTGCTCATCACACTGCTCATGGCCATTCTCAACTTTGTAAGTCAGATCCCGGTTGACTCAGTTAATCAGTCATGTCTAACTCCCTTCCCGCTGAGCCACATGTCCACAAGTTAATATTCCAGCTCAGATAGGTTGTATAAGTAAATAATTAGCAGCATTTCTATTGCAGTTTGTAAAGAGCTAACATGTTCTGGAATACTTAATGTATACTGCTTTGAAATGTACTATACCACACATAAGTGCATTGCGCCAGTTATAACTTATGTAGATAAATCATTATTTGTGGACATAGATACGAATGTTCACCTGCAGGTGCTAATGTGCCTGTTCATGCAAATTGGTTTATCTATCAACAGAAACAGATCTGTGATTATTTACCTTCAATAGTGACTTCTACCCCATAGATAGTACCTAATAGGTACACAGAATCATGGACAAAACATACTGATTGTGAATGTGGTTTCTGTCTCACAAGTTCTTTCTCCCGGAGCCCAGCTGTTCCACATCCCAGAATGCAACAGCTCTAGAGGCCTTCCAACTCTACACAGTGCCTGTGAGTACTATATTACATAGTGACATTTGGTCATAAAACTCATAATAACGACAGTAACTGTCAAGCAGCTACTGGAATTCCAGTAAGCCTCCAAACATTTCAAGTCAATGGTGAAAGGACTAATAAAATACTATTGATTTTGTAATTATTGAATCAATTTGAATGAATTTTGAATTTTTAAATACACCTGTTCCTCTTCCTTTCTTAGCCTGTTCTTATCACTAATCCTTTGAATGTAGGTGGAAAACTCAGAGGTTGTACCCACATGAGCTGACATATGCTTGTCATTATAGTACTACGTGTACTGCTGCCTGTTGGCCATGCTCGGCGTGATCGTGTTTGTGCGGACCTGCCTGGAGGTCAAAGTCTTCCTGCTTACGCTGGCGCTGGTGGTCTACCTGGCCCTGTTCCTCTGCGTCTATGCCGCTCGCTCTGACTGCTACGTGTACCAGCTCTACAGCAACACCAGCCAGTACGATGTCATTCCTGTCCATACCCCCCCTACCCCAAACCCCTTGGTGATATTACCATTTTTTTATAACAGTTAGACTTGTGCTTCCATTTTGGTAGCATAACTTTGTGTTTTCCTCAGACCTGGTGTCCTGAAGGAGCCTAAGATCATAGCTGGAGTTTGGCTCTTCATCTTTTACTTCACCGCCTTAATTCTGGCTCGAAAGGTAACTTAAGCTGCGTCTGTTTGTATATGATCATCCATCTACAGCACCAAATGATCATTGTTTCCTCCTGAAGCCTGAGCCTTATTGTATTGTCCGTGGTATGACTGTGGGTTCTCTCTCTCTCTCTCTCTCTCTCTCTCTCTTTCCCTGAATCTGATATGATGGTTGTCACTTTTCTTAGGATGAGCTGGTGTGTCGCGTGGAGTTTCTCCTGCAGAAGTGCTTCCAGGAAGAGCGTGAAGAGATGGAGACAATGGAGAATGTCAACAAGCTGCTCCTACAGAATGTCTTGCCTGCTCATGTAGCCTCCGTCTTCATTGGCAAGAATCGCCGCAATCAGGTGAGGTGTTCAAGATGCAGTCGAGCAACAGTCTGAACGGCTGTACCACTGGCAACCCAGGTTGAGGAGCTGTACCAGGAATTCTGCTAGTGGTGTCGATAACATTCAAGCCATTAATAACCAGTGGCGGGGGATTAGTCACAGACAGGTGTTCTAAGAGACTATCAGACATCTAGGTAGTATGGTAGTAGTTGGGGGGGAGGGGATGAAATCAGTGCTAAATTCTACTGCTAATGTAAAGAGTATGTTGTTGCTTTTCAGGACCTGTACAGTCAATCCTGCGATTGTGTTTGTGTGATGTTCGCTTCAGTACCTCAGTTTAAAGAGTTCTACAGCGAGAGTTCATTGAACAAGGACGGGCTGGAGTGCCTTCGCTTTCTCAATGAGATAATTGCCGACTTCGATGAAGTATGGACTGCCGGTTATTAATACTTCTTTCCATTTTACTATTAGGCCAGGAATTAATTTTGGAATTCTGTCTCCCGTTCTTTCAGCTCTTGTCCAAGCCAAAGTTCAGCAGTGTGGAAAAAATTAAAACTATTGGTAGTACTTACATGGCAGCTGCAGGGCTGACTGTCACAGCAGGAGAAGAGAAGAAGGTAGGAGGCAAAAAGAGATAGAGCATGATATTGGTCATTGAGAGAAAGAAAGGAAAGTAGTTCAACCTATTTGTCACTGTAATATACTACATATATATTCTTCACTGGATCTGAATGGCAGTGAAAGGTTATGACATAATGATATAATCAAATTAATTGAAGGGTGTGGCTTTAGCTTACATTAATAATTTACCACACCTACTGTTCGAAATTACAAGAATATACAGTAGAACCTTGGAACTTGAACGCTTCTTAACTTGACCTACTCCGACATCAGTCTGTTGAATTGTTTTTTGACTTGTACCTCGACCAAAATCTTGGAACTGGACTGTTCCTGCTATATCTTGTATGGGTTGAGACACATTCAACTGTGGAATTCAGATCTTGGACAGGTCAGTCGAGAAAAACCTAGCCACAACTCGACTGAAAACTCGGAACACAACAATACAGAATAGACATACTGTAACTTGTATGGATTCAAACGCATCTCTGATGGGCTGAAACAAAGGCAAACGGACCTACTGGGATGCTGACGTGCAAAAGCTGTGTTCAAAGTCATTTTTTGGTGCTTTACCTTCTGTGCATTTAGTGATACAGTAATTGTGGCCCCTAAGAAAGTGAGCAGTGATAGCAGCAAACCAAAGATGAAAGTAGTGAGAGTAACTGCAGAACTTAAAAAGGAAATTTTGTATCCAGGCCTGTATGAAATATATTTAAGTGTTGTTGGCATTTCATTAAATACAACAGCAAATTCTTTTATTTCAATTGCAATTACCATACTTAAAAGAATTGAATTTGTTTAATTTAAGGCATTTCTTAATTTTTCAATGTTTAATTCATTAAAATCTAGTGGATTTCATCATTTTAAAAATATATAGTTATTCCTTCAACTTCTGATTGTGGGTTCTCTAGTGAAAATGTCTTTTTTTTAAATAACCTGAAAATTAAATTGCGTTCTTTGTATTTTCTGTGTTTCTTCATTGCCCCCTACAGGAAAACAATGGCTCCAACAGCCATGTGCGCTCAATGGTGGAATTTGCATTAGCTCTGATGGCTAAGCTGGAGTTAAACAACACACATTCTTTCAACAACTTCAAACTCAGGATTGGTGTGTACATGCCGATTTCATGATTCTGACTTTATGTCTTATTTTTCCATGTTCAGTTTCATTCATAGTTGCCCATGAACACTTCACGTTTATATAGATAAACATACCTAGCATAGATAAACATACCCAGCACACTGTGCAGTCAGAAAACTGAAATACATCCTTTTATAATATTTTGCTTACAATTTCTCATAGGAATAAACCATGGTCCAGTGATTGCGGGGGTGATCGGTGCCCACAAGCCCCAATATGACATTTGGGGGAATGCTGTCAATGTGGCTAGCAGGATGGACAGTACTGGAGTCCTGGACAAAATTCAGGTCAGAAAATTAAAGAGAAGGGGGCAGGAATGAACTCAGGAGCATGACCAGAGTCTGATCTTTCTTCTTGGCTGCTTTTCCGGTCCCCTGTAGGTCACCGAAGAAACAGCAGAGGTGGCCCAGTCTCTGGGCTACAGCGTGACACTGCGGGGAGTCATCATGGTCAAGGGAAAAGGAGAGCTCACCACCTATTTCATCAACACTGACCACTGACATTTTATTTTACTGGAACTTGAGAATAATAATCAGTTATCATCACTGTTGATCAGTGGGTGTGTCAGTGGGCAAAGCTCCTGCAAAAACCAAAGATTTGAAGAGTGATTGGATGGACCTGATTGTGTACTGGACGAGAGACTGAGTTTTTGCAGTACACTGCAGTTGTGCTCATTAGTTACTTGAAGCTTTTTGATTAATTTATCTCTAGAAAATAATTTTACATTAAAACTGGAAGCTAATAGGTAAAATAATAATAAAGTGAATGGCGTGGTGGTGCAGTGGTTAGCACTGTTGTCTCACACCTCTGGGGCTGGGATTGGAGTCTCTGCCGGGGTTGTATGTGTGTGCATGTGTTCCCTGTGTCATTGTGGGGTTTCCTCCGGGTGCTCCAGAGTCCAAAAGCATGCTAAGGTGAATTGGACCTACCAAATTGCCCATAGGTTTGTGTGTGGGCCCCGAGAAAGGTTGGCACCTCACCCTAGGTTATTCCCTATCTTACACCCATAGGCTCCAGATTCCCATGACCCTGAATCGGACAAGCAGGCATAAAAAAATGGAAGGATGGAATAATAGGCTGCATCATTGTAAACAGAGCAATGTGGTTTCACTAAAGAGACAGCAATGTAACAAGCTTAAAAGTACAGAATAGACAAAGTACAGAATGATGGGAATGTTGCTCTTGGCACAATGACCTGTTTCTGTTGGATGAAACCACATAATTATGTTTTGCTTCACCATTTTCCTTTTACAAAAAGCAGGGCAGGAACCATTATAATATACCTCAGTTAGCTTAGCTTAGGGGTGGACAGGATGCTATCTGACAGCAAAAGGCAAAAAAAAAAAATAAAAATACTATGTTTAAATATGAGCTAAACATCAGGGAAGCAGAATGAACAATAAGTGCTTGCGTGCTTGCTGGTTGCTGGTTGCTGCTTGCTGGTTGCTGAATGGTAATTGAAATCAAAAAACCACGCAGATCATGGGAACACTGAGGTGGTCGTGTTTTACTTACATTGTGCTCTAATTGTAGTCATGTATTTAATCTCAGAAAAAAGTAAATGTTTTATGGCAAAATAGGTTTCTCTCTGTGGGTCAGTCTTATTTGAATATTTTGTACCCTTTTAGTATGTCCTGTCAGAACCTGAATATCCACCCTACCTTTATAACACTGTTCTATGAAGGACATTTATCCGGTTCAAGCACTGAGTATGTGAATGTTAAATTAAATGAATAAATGAATAGAAAAATAAATATTTAATTTTGTATTAAACCAGTTGCATTAATTCTAAGTGCACATTTATTTCTGATCAGTTACTGGAGGTTGAGCTCAGCAACACTTGACTCTTTAATCAACGTATGTCTATCACCTGCCTCATTTGTATGTTGCTTTGAACAAAAATGACTCTCAAATGACTAAATATAAATATATAATTATTCTAAATATATTGATATAATAATAATAGCGATACTTTACATTGCGATGGAGAAATTTTCTTTTCACGTATCCCATTAAACTGTCCATGAGACACACAAACATGTACAAATGACAGCAAGCTTGCAGGTTACAGCACCGGGTCAGTCAGTATCCAGTTCTTCTGGAGTAACTGGTGTTAAGGGCCTTTCTCAAGGGCCCAACGGTTGTCTCACTTTCATGTTCTCTCTGTGCTGTGCAGATTCCCTTCTTGGCACTGACTTACTACTGCAATTGAAAGATAAGCAGTTAGGTTAAACTGGCATCTCTGAATTTCACATATTGTGTGCACGCATGTGCCCTACAAGGAAGCAGATATTATATTTGTGAATTAAAACGAATTTTAGCCCTTACAGTAGTGCACAAGGAGGCCCCTTCTGGTAACTACATTAAGAAAACACCTTAATAAGATGGAGCAACTGTGTAATTTGCTTCATCGGTAGTACGGAGTTTCACAGCTGCCAACTTTGGTCAGCTGGCTGGCCTGAGATCTTCTGTTTGAGACAAGACTGCATACGCATTTACCTTGTAAATCTATAGGGTTTGTGAACTGCCCCAAAGCTTTTGATGTAGCTAATTGTATAATATAGATTTAATATAATAATAATAATAATATGTAGATTTTATAATAATTTGCTGTAAGATTTCTTGCATGAGCGCGAGTCTTAAAGTACGCATTTTACGGGACACTTCAGTCGTTTCCTTTCGTTAAGTTTCACCTATAACGATTGAGATTGAGTGGAATTTCCCCCGCTCAGAAATCCGCACACCCATTGGTGAGTTTAATCTTGTGCAAAACTTTTCTGAGATGCCATTGGCTATTTTTGATGTCTATCAAACATTTCCTGCTTTTGACGATGGGCTTTGTTTTTGTGATTTTTAATTGTAAAAGTAGGAGAACAGGGAGACTACCAGCAATGTAAGAATATGTTTAATAACACCGTTAATAAATTAAATGTTAAATACATCACTACGTATTTTGCTGGTACCGAGGTTTAACGAATTGTTCGTTCGTTTCCACATTCTCAACAGGAAGACAGCTAAGGCGTATGCTAAGTTATTGCAAAGTAAATCGAACGTAATGATTTTGGTATCATTATAATAGACACACACAAATAAGGTAATTTCTTATTATCATTGCGGGTGGGCGACCCGTATTTACTACATTTTAAGTGTCAATATATTTTTAATTATCCGTAACACAACTTTTCATGGTTTCAACAATTTTTTGGTAATTAAGAAGCAGTCGCTCTCCGCAGTTTGTTCTCGTTTAACAGCGATGACGTATCAACTACTTCCTTGTAATAAAAAGGGCGAAAGATGGATTAACACTAACATTTGTTTTTAGATCTCAGTGTTATGACCCTTGGACGACACGCTCATGTCCGGAGCCACTGAACGAAGCAGGAGGCATCGCCCCCTGAAGATGTATCTGGTACATTCCGACTATAAAGTTGAGGATCACCTGGAGGGTGCCATTCGGCTGCCACGGGGGAGTCTATGTCAGGTGCAGGAGGATGGAAAAGGTGATCAGTTTTGGGTGAAGGTAAGCTTGTCTAGATAACTCACTTGTGAGCTGTTATCACACCCTTATAATTTTTAACAATAGAATCTCCCTACATCAAACGAATTGTCCTTCACTGTATTACACTGTAAAATGACACACTCGGCTTACCTTATCACATAAACCAGTAGAGTTTAACTCCTTTACTGTACAACCTAACAGAAAAGTACAACACACTTAAGCTATTAACAGAATAGTTTGCTACCCTGTATTACATAATAACTCCTACTCACTCATTTTAGGTGTTGGATTCTGGTTCGCTTGTTAAGATTGATAAACAGGTGCTAATAGATGTACCAGGTGAACTGTCAGGACTGCTGGAGGCTGTCGTAGATGCCGAGTCCCGCTTCCAGCTGTTTTTTAAGCCCCACCGACTGAAGCGGTTAGCTGCCCTGTCTATTGGAGCAGAGGTGAGGGTGCAGGTGGGACAGCTGGGCGAACTGGATGGGGTGCTGCGGTACCGGGGTCCACTGACAGCTGGCAGTGCTGCAGTGCACTTCGGAGTTCAGCTGAAGGTAAGGGACAGTTCTGTCGACAAGTTCCCTAAGCTTTTGCCTATGATATTCATTAGCAGATTTTTATCTTGATTTGTCTTTTTTGTTCAGCATATTTATGCGAGATATAAAGACTAACTTCTCTCCCATTTCTCACCTCTTCAAGTCACCGGCTGCGGGGAGGGGAACAAATAATGGGTCCTATAAGGGACACCAGTTCTTCCACTGTCCTGAAGGCTGTGGTGTCTTTGTGGCGGCCAGTCGAATTTTCCCGCGGTCATCTCGGACCAGCAATGCAGACGCTGTTTTGGCATGTGTCCGTGAATACGGTCCCACCCAGAGCACAATCCAGGCTCGCACAACTGACTCCATTCCCAGTATCAGCTCAGCACCCCAATTGCAGGTTGGGCATAGGGTGTGTTTCCTCATGGGACAGAACCCTGTTAGTGGAGAGGTTCGCTATATTGGGCTCTTGCCAGGGAAGACAGAACCATACGTGGGACTCCTATTGGTTAGTATTGTTTCAGATTTTCAGCATTTCCTTTTCACTATGGTAGAAGCACAAGCAGTCATATCTGTGCATGTATTTGTGCAGGACAACCCTGTGGGGTCGTGGGATGGCTGGTTTAAGGGGGAGTTTCTTTGTGCTGTGCCCTCCCCCCAGTATGGGCACCTACTGCCTTTGGCTAAAGTGTCCCTAAGTGTGGCACCACCCACTGCAGAGTCACTAAAGACTCACTGCCAGGCTCCAGGTAGTGTGTATGATACCTTTTTACCGTGGTTACACCCGTAATCATGCTCTGTCTGTGTTCTTTAATTCTCATTCTTTCCCTATTACTTAGTGTCCCCTTCCTATCCATCATCCAATGAAACAAGGACCCACCAGTCTCCAACACGCACAGCCAACCCCAAGCCTTCCCATAATGCTTCATCCCTACTGGTCACCAAGCCTCAAGGCTCATCCTCCTCTACTGTCACTGACCAATCATATCACTGCCCACGGTCTCCCACCAAGATTGTGCCAGAACGCAACGAAGTCCAAAGTGAAAGGGGGGCGACGGGAATGGGGCTAGAGGTGGGCTGTATGGTTGAGGTGAATGACCCCCCTTTATATGGGGTAATCCGCTGGATTGGTGAAATCAGTGGCATCCCAGAGCCTGTAGCTGGACTGGAACTGGTGAGACCCCTATCCACCTTTTTGTCCCTGTGTTTGTGTCTATCTAGATCAGGGTTCCCCAGTTCTGGTCCTGGTGGGCCACAATCCAACACAGGTTGCAGATTTTCCTACTCAAACATACCTACTAAACCTGGTAATTAGCTGGTTATGGTGGGTGTTAGCCGGGATATCTACAAACTGTGTTGGATTCTGGCCCTTCAGGAAGGGAATTGGGGATTCCCGATCTAGACTGTGTAGAGTTCTTTTTTTGTTTCAGTCTTTTGCTTGTTTATATGTGTTTGTATGTCTAGATGGAAAGCAAATAGCTGTAATGACTGGAAAAGAGAGATGCTGTCAGGCTAATATATGCAGCCTTGATTTTGAGGCGTCTGAATATCCTTAACTAAATTTGGAGTAACATCTGATTTTTTTTTCCTTTGTTATTTTTCTTCAGTTTTGTAAGTGAAGATATTTTTATGTAAGAGAGCACAATTTTTTGCCCCGTCTTGTCCAGGACCAGGAGTTAACCGCGGCGACAGATGGAAGTTACCTAGGCGAACGCTACTTTCGTTGTCCGGCCAACAAGGGGCTATTTGTCAAACTCCGGAACTGTAGGCGCGACTCACGGTTCCCTGCCCCAGAGACACCAGCTAACCAGGTGCAGCGGTGCAACTCCATAGGTGCGCTACGCCCCTGCAGAGTTCTCAGCTAGCTCCATATAATGAACACTATGTTACTTTTGGTCTAAAGCAACATTTGTTTGTGTAAACCAGACATGACCATATACATTAATACATTTATCACTGTAATATGAAATTAGATTTTTTTTTAAACGAGTCACAGTACATTAGCATTTAAAAAATGGAGGACTAACGAAGGAGGTCCATATAGGTGTGGCCTACACCCAAATTCCATTGCAGGGCTTTTTCTCAGCTGAAGGTAGAATTGAGAAGAAGGTGTAGCGTGATCAGTAGGTTTACTGTACTTCAGGGGTATATGTAGGGGCAGGACAACAGGAGCACTGGCCCCAGCTGAAAGCTGATTGGCCTCCGGAGTGCCCCCTCCTCTGTCACTCACCAATTCAAACCATATGATTGGCTAATGATAAGGTTGTCCATTCTGTATGAATTAAGGCCCCTCTTATGCCCTGCTCCCAAAAAGGCTTGAATCGCCTAGGTTGTACTTATTCTACAAGCTATTTTAAAATGACTAAGGCACTCAGCTGACCTAAGCAATTTTGAAGATGGTGATTTTGTTATCATGTAGTCAGTGGTACTTCTGTGGCTGAATAACACCTTGCTAATGGCATGCACTGACTTGCATAGTGATAACGATGCCCCATCCTCCAGCTTTTGCAGATTGGAGCAGTGAACGTGTGGAGGAGAACACGCCCTCGCTCTATGGTGTCTTGGCCCAGGAACGCTACACAGGCTGGAAGAAAGGCATACAGGGCCACCTGAACTCCTGCTATCTGGACGCCTCGCTCTTTAGGTGAGGGGCGCATTTGCTTTTCCTGTCTGCTTCCATCTATGCATCCATGCATCTTCCATCTTCTAAGCTCTTATCCTGAGCAGAAACTCAGTGAAACCTTTCCCTGGCAGCCCGTGTCTTCCTCTCCTCATATTCGCTTATTCTCTCGGTTCCAGTCTGTTCTCCTGCTCAAGCTCAGCAGACTCAGCCTTGTTATGGCCCTTACGGCCCCAAGATGGCCCCCACTGCTGCCACGCCCAGGACCTGCTGCGCTGTGAGATTGTCAATCCTCTGCGCAGGTCGGTGCAAAAAAAACCAAACAAACAAAAAAAGCTGGATGGCTGATTCTGAGGTGCTGGAACCATCATGAATGGCACCAATAATGATACCATGATCACATTCGCTTCGGTCAGGTATCTTAGGCGTTATAATGCGATAGGCATTCAGTTACAGCCACATGAATTATTATTTGGAAAAGCAAGCATGTTTGCATTAGTAAGCATTTGCACTGGCCACTAAGTGTATGTGTGTGTGTGTGTGTGGGGGGGTTATATGTATATTGCATTGTGGGGATCAAATGTCCCCACAATGTGATAAAAATCTGTTATTTTAACATTTTGGGGACCATTTTTCTGTCCCACAAGGGGAAACTCAATTTTATAAAAATCTGTGATTGCAAACAAAAAAACCTAGAATGCCAGTAGTCTTGTATTTTCTTTGGTTACTTATACTTACGAGTAGAGCTGGGTTACGGTTGTCATTGTTTGGATTAGGTTTTTTCTCATAGAAATGAACGAAGGCTCCTCACAAATGTATGAATACAATATTAAGACATGTGTTTAACAGGCATGGGTATGTCTGCGCCAGTAAGACTATGGCCTTGCGGAGATTGCTGGAAGCAGAGAGTTCCGATACAGGCTTCACCAGCCAAGAGAAAGGTCAGGCCTCACCGTGTGTTTCAGCGCCTGTGTCTGTGTCCGTTCCCTCACTTTCACCTGTGTCTGTGTCCGTCTCACCTTCATCTGTTCCACCGCTTTCTTTTTCACTTGAGCGTATCACCCTCTTTTTTTTAGACCCAGAAGAATTCATTAATAAACTTTTCCAGCTGCTGCGGGTTGAGCCTCTTTTGAAGATTAGGTAACTCTTTGTCTCCTTCTAAGTCTCCCTTTATCAAATCTAAGCGCGCATGCATATATATAAGACATACACATTTATTATAATTCAGTTTCAGGTGCCTTTTAACGTGCTAGTAATGACTTGTAATTTAAAATATCAACACAAATTATTTATTTGATTTTCCCCTCCACTGGCCCAGCTCTTTGACACACAGACTTGATCCGTGTTGGTTCCTTGTGTGCACGTTCCTGTCGAGCCACCTCTCTGCTGTCTCTCAGATCAGCTAGCAGGCAGCCTCAGGAATGTCACCTGTATCAGCTCTTCCCCCTGCCCAATGCTGCATCCCCCCCGCTGTCACCCTCCACCAGACAATCTGTGAGGGTTGCCACTGTACAGATCCTGCTAGAGACCTCCTTCATGCACGCTGGGCTGAAATTTGCAGAGGTAACCCATCCAGCTGCATGCTTTCCCTGCAGCCCAGCTTACATGAGCTGACACTTGTGACAGATACCTACGAAAAGGAATGCGGTTGTTTTTCTGATAGTTATTGGTTGTTGTTCCTCTGGCACAAAGGCTCCATCCTGCCTGCTACTATTGATGCCCAGGTTTGGGAAGGACTACAAAATGTTTGATGCTATCCTGCCCTCCTTGACTCTTGATATCACTGATCTTCTGGATGACAGTAAGTGTTTTTTAAGTTTATATTCATAATACACTTTCTACTATGGATTGTGTCATATTGGTCCCAGTCAGAAAAAAACTGTCCCTGTACATTCCCAGCTCTAAGGGAATGCAGTATCTGTCAGTCTGTAGCAGAATGGGAGTGCGCACAGTGCTATGAGGACCTAGACATCAAACCGAATTGCCTCAAACAGTACTGCCAGATCTGCAACACGCAGGTAACTATCAGGGTTTTACCTTACAGGTCAGCGCCACATCTGCCATAAACACATGTGGCAGCCTCACTTAACTGTCATGTCTGCATGACAGCTGCCGGCTCACAACACTGTCTCTGTGTGTTACTCCAGGTGCACAACCACAGGAAGCGTCTCTCTCACAAGCCAGACAAGGTGGGAGTGCCAGGGGGGCCCTGGGCAGGACCGGTGCACGGCGTCCGCCAGCAAATGTCTTTGTTTGCAGTGACGTGCATCCAGACTAGCCACTACGTGAGCTTTGTACGCTGTGGACCTACGCCCACTGATTGGTTATTCTTTGACAGCATGGCTGATAGGGAAGGTAAATTTGCTGTTCAGCCAATCAGGTTTCACTAAAATGTATAAATGTACAGTGCTAGTTATAGAACTGTATTTTTCTCCTGGTGTTTAATGGTGTAATATTACAGTATAAGAATGATTGATTAGTTGATGTAAAATTTTTATTTAAAAAGGAGGGAGATTACTATTAAAGACTGATAAAAATATTCTCAGAAAGTAAATAGTGTGGTGTCCCCATTGGATACTGTAGTGTCTCATTTGTACTAGTTAGAGTGCAGATACAGCTTCCTCTTGTGTGTTCCAGGTGGAGAAAATGGCTTCAATGTGCCCCAAGTGAAAGCATGTCCAGAGGTGGCACAGTACCTAACTCAGTCGGACGGGGAACTTAGTAAACTGGAGACCTCCTCCCTCCACGGTGCAGCCAGGCGGCTGCTCTGTGACTCGTACATGTGCCTCTACCACAATCCCCAGCTAAGCTTGTACAAGTGATACACGGAGAGGCGTGTGCACATATACAAAAATCAGTATGCATGTAAATATAAATACAGCACCGAAGGACACCAAGTCACACACACGAGTACACACACTCATAAGCACACACATTTTTAAAAATGTACAAAATGTATTTCTGTTTTGGAGTCCTGTGTTTTGTTCAGAAACGTTGCTCCCTAGAACTATGAGCAATGGAAATGAGAGCAAAGATTAAAATATTAATTTAAACTTTAAACAGTATTAATTTTGACTGTAAATTATGTGGTTTTCTTTATTACATTATTTTTTTGATGGTTTTAACAACTTTTTAGTGATGTATAAAATCCAAATGTTTAACATGTGTTGTCCTGTGACTACTGTTAAATAAAGACAACCGTTTAATAGGATAGTACAAGAATTACGACTTCAGTGTTTCGTTTTGCCTGCAACATTTGATAGCTATGACGTAAAATACACGCGACAACAGCACTTTGTCGTCATCATCCGCGACAAATCGGGAAGAGGACGGTTGACGATTGTCAGTTTTATTTACCGTTAATTTCAATTCAAATGCATTTCTGAATAACGGTCTTTTGATAAATCAAAACTCCCGTGAAGACGAGGCTGAAAATCACTTACTTGAAGGTATATCATATCATGAATTAGTGCCCTATTTATTTTAAAACGGATGTCCTTAGACGAATAGCTACAGAAGTGTCCGCGTTTAATTTTCATTTGACTGTTGATTAACGATGCATCTAAGTATCGGAATTTGTGCTAGATTAATGTTTGATGTCGGCTTTACCTAGTTATAGGATAAGCGTTCGAGTGTGTCCGTAGCTTACTGTTAATTCGAAGGTGGTGTTTCCCATATGCTCTTTTGAAGGATGAACACCGTACAACATATTGTGTCATATTCCTTATGTAATTTACTGTGCATATGCAAAAGACTGCGTAAATGGCAACTGTAAAAAATTATAGCTTTAAATCTACTAGCACTTTTAGTGTAAGTCATTTGAAGTCGAGTAGTCGCGTTTTTTATCGGGACTTTTGATTTGACCAGGATTGGTCTCGGAGGCCATGTTCGCAAAATTCAGTGCCGAACCAAATACAGTGAAAGTCTTCACTAATCATGTTCTGTTCATGGTTAGATAGGGACTCAGTATAGTTTCCAGTGCTGTGTTAATCTTTCAGTTCAATGCAGTCGTGATCGCCGTCCTTACTTGTGTCCTGGTTCCGCGTCAATGAAAATGCCGGATTTTGTTAGCCGAGGTCCTCGGAAAGGTTGCCATGGCGTCTCCAGGGGGACACGCTGGAGGAGCGGTGTCTACACGAGGAGGGGCCGGGGCTAGAAGAATGAAATGGGCCTTGGAGATGAGTCTAGGAAATACTAGGTAGGAGCAAACCTTGGTTGTCAACTTTAAAATCCATGCAGATTTCCCTTATTTAAATTGAGAGTGATTCTATTCGTGCTTAGATCCTGGTTGGAAATAAATAAAACAATCTTTACCTTAGCAGGAGGGTGGGCCAATATGTAAAATGTATTTTAAGTTGCTAGTACATGTTAATTGTAGAACCGGTAAATGTAAAGTTTGGATTGCCATGCTGAAGCTATAGGACTGTATTGAAACAGGAAGTGGATGTCTCCAGTTTTATCCTCCTTTCTTGCTCTCTTGAAGAAATCGGGGTGACCGACAGAGCAGCCAAGGGGACACTCTGTACCCTATTGGATATTCAGACAAGCCTGTTCCTGACACCAGTGTCCAGGAGGCCGATAGGAATTTGGTGGAAAAGGTGATTGTGCTGATGTAATTAAAATATTATGCAAGGGTGTCACTGCTTAAACAAATGGTTTAGAGGTGAGGGGAAAATCGACTCTCTTATAAATCACAATTCTTTGGGATGTCGATTTTTAGGCCACCACGAGAGTTAACTGATAAAAACTAGGTACTGTAGGTACTGGAGTTTTTGTATTTAGTTATTAGTTAATTAGTAGCTGCATCAATTTCGACATTACCTATTATATCAAGTAGCACAGGCAAAGTAAACTGAAAGTAGCAGTTCATGCCTTACACATTCTAGGCTGTAAGGATGCCGTGGTTGGTCTCTGTGTGTTAACCCTCTCTTTCTCCACAACCCAGAGGTGTTGGGATGTGGCCCTGGGTCCCCTGAAGCAGATTCCAATGAATCTGTTTATTATGTACATGTCTGGCAACACTATCTCCATCTTCCCCATTATGATGGTGTGCATGATGGCCTGGAGGCCCATCCAAGCCCTTATGTCCATGTCTGCCAGTGAGTAGCAGTATCTCATTTCAGTGCAATGCATACTTCTGATACACTGCATGGGTACTAACTATGCACAAATATTTAGTACAGAATACATTCATTTCCTACTGCATCTGCTTGCATCATCTTCTGACTCCTCCCCTAGCTTTTAAGTTGTTGGAGAGTTCCAGTCAGCAATGGCTTCAGGGACTGGTCTATCTCATTGGCAACCTCCTGGGGTCAGCGTTGGCCATCTACAAGTGTCAGTCAATGGGACTATTACCTACACATTCTTCTGATTGGTTAGCCTTCATTGAACCGCCTCAGGTAAGCTTTTTTCAGTTCTCTTTGGTACTACTTTATGAACAAGCATACTATAAGGGCAAACTAAGTTTTTTTTTTTCTCCCTCCCCCAGAGGATGGAGATAATGGGTGGAGGTATGGTCTTGTGAAGAAAAATTCAGCAATAACATACACAGTCTATGAATCCTGGACCTCCTGGCGATCAAACTTTGAAACTGCTGTTTTTCTTTATTTGACTGCATTATCCGTTCCCAGATTTCCTGCTGCACAGTTTTTCCCAATAAAGATTTTCACTGTTAAAAACAAGTACTGTTCATTCTCTGCAATGGGTTTACCCCTCGTCCTGGGTTATTCCTTGCCTTACGCGCATAGCTTCCAGGATAGGCTCAGACCCTCTCTACCCTGCATAGAAGAAGCGGGTATGGAAGATGGATAGATAAACTGTATTCTTAAGAACCATCAATACTTCAGAGAAAATTACACCAGAGTCATTAAACTCTTTTTAATGAATTGATCTTTTTCTTTTGGATGCTGATCTAGAAGCATAGATAGAAGGAGAGTGATAGTGGCAATAGTGTGTTGGTTTGTCAAACGTACTCAAATTTGTGGCCTGTGACTGGCATGTAAGTGTTTGCAATCACGCTGTAACACTATTTGACAGTAGTGAATTACATCTCTTCCAAAATCAGGCTAAGGCAATGAATCTATATAGGTCAGTCCAAGTATAAGTACATATAAAAGGAACTTAATTTCTTATTAGGTTATTGGTCTTATAAAGGAACACAAAATCTGCGTGTTAAGGCGGGTTGTGATTTAGTATGCGATTCGAGAAATGGTGGCGTTTCATACAAAAAAATCCTTAGCATGCCTTGCATGCATTCCCGTTTTCTCGCTGCTAGTCCGGTATTGCAAAAACGGCGGTTTTTATATACATAGCGCATATATATGTGCCTACGAGCCTTTGTGTTAATGCCCGAGGTAAAATCCTGCGATGCAGTTTCATAGTGGGGTTTGGCTGGTTCTGTTAGTCAGGCAAGTCGGACTGGATTGGGCGTTTTATACGCATTCCTGAAACAATGTAGATAGCAACGCAAGGTAGGCTACTTGTTTGTTTACGGAGAGCGTCTGTGTTTTTCAGCGTCCCTGGGAATCTTGTTAGGTATTGTTATGATTACACCCCCCACCAAAGTCGGGCATCTTACTCAACCGCTCCGACAAGGAGCGACTGCTTCTATAACCGAAACCCAGGGCAATTGAAGGGAAACGCGAAAACCAGACTGACAAACTTATTCACCTGTTGAAGAACACGGACACGAATAAAAAAAAAAACACGGATGTTAAAGGTTAAACAATGAGGACGGAATTTTCTTTTCTCTCTAATATTAGAGCATTTTGTACGTGGAATGTGAGCAGACATCCAGTCGTACCTTCCGCAGAACGACGAGCAGCAGAAGCCGGATGTCTAACTCCATAGAAACAACGCAAAGGCCCGCGGCGCTGCCGCCTGTCATCAGGAGTCCACACGTGGCCGAGTACCGGCCCAACTCGTTTTATAGAAATGGGCTGACAGGGAATGTTTAAATAAAGGGGACGGGGCGCCTCTTGGCATTTATTGACGCTAATAGCCGGGTTTGGACCTGAGTCCATGGCTACTATAATGCTGTGGTTTTGGAAACGAATTATGTAGAATATCGCATGTAACTTATCTGATATGTATTTTTATCTTGTGTTTTTTATGTAAATGTTTTTTCTCCAGTGTTGTGTAATTTTAAATCATACTGTCCGTTTTGTAATTTTTAGATTCAGTGTTACAAAACGAATTTAGTATATTCCATGAGTGAATTGATACGAATATTTGTTTTTTTCGAACACTACCGTTTTTAAAGATAAGAGCAACTACTATCTGGACGTCACGCAGTTTGTTGTTTCGCTTATCTGATTGTGAGTCGCCCTCGACTGGATACTGATTTTAAAAGACTCGATAGATCCACGAACATACTAGGATCTTAAAGTTACTGGCACCCCAGTGAAGTTTATGCTCCTGTGAAAGATTGGATGACCGCTATGGGGAGATACGGCAATCACAAATCCGCGCCGAGATACCCTCACCCGTTTGTGAATGAAGTACAACTGAGCAGCGCCCAGAAAATCAGGGTAAGACGCCACAGGTGTGGATCTGGGGGAGAGGGGAAGAATGAAAGGGAAAAATAAATAGTAAAATATTATTCTATTTTTTTTGTTTTCATTTGAACAGTTTTTTAAACGTCACCCGTAATATTGATGGCTTTACAACTCCGGGCCAAGTTGATCTTTCTGATGTCATGTGTTTGGAAAATTGACAACACCTTTTTATGTTTGGTTTCTGTGGCTTTAATAGCTTTCTAAAAATACTGCGTGCCTCTAGTTGATTAATACTGTTATGCATGTCTTCTGACATGTGTTCTTTCTGTGTGCACAGGGGGTGCTGCTGGGGGCAGTGCTTTTCCCTACACGTCTCGCCTTGGCTGCCCTGTTCTTCCTGCTCATGTGGCCTTTTGCCAAACTACGATTAGCTGGCCTGTCGGCAAAGCAGCGTGCCGAGCCGGTGCAAGGCTGGAGGCGCTGGCTGCTGCACCCCATTATCCTGCTGCTCAGCCGAGCCGTCTTCTTCTCCCTCGGCTTTTTTTGGATCAGGATCAAGGGTCGCAGGGCGGATCCCCGGGAGGCGCCCATGTTGGCTGTGGCCCCCCACAGCAGCTTCCTGGACATATTGATACTCTGTCCGGCTGCACTGCCCACTGTAGTGTCACGTTCGGAGAACAGCAGCCTGCCCATAATTGGAGGTGAGGGGGTTGAGGAGGGAGATTGGACAAATGGAGAAGCGTGAAGGGGTGGTAAAGGATTCGTTAAGGGTTACTGAGAGAAGACTGAGGAGCATCCTCTGTTTCTCTGGGTCTCACTGCTGTGTTTTGATGGCATCTGTGTCTTCCAGCCCTACTGGAGTTCAACCAGTCGCTTGTGGTGAGTAGGAAGGACCCCGAATCCAGGAGACGATGTGCAGCTCAGCTGAAGGAGAGGCTGACCTCGAATGGCCGCTGGCCACAGGTGCGTCTCTACATGTATGCAGGCGGCAGAGCATCTAGTCATGTGAGATTGTTGATAATGTCGTCATCATCATCGTCATCATGCGATGCCTCTTTGCCGTATTGGACAGATGCTGTTATTCCCAGAAGGCACTACGACCAATGGCCAAGCACTCATCAAGTTCAAACTTGGTCAGTATTGTGAGCTTCCAATATGTATGGCACTCCCCCCCCCCCCCTATGAATTTGAACTATACATACAAAATAAGATTCATAAATATCAAAAAGTATCAAATAGAAAAAATGTAGGATATAAATGAAAGACAATCACATTACACTTTACCCTATTGGCTAATAAACATTCTGTTGTTATCCTACTACTGCAATATATGCTTACAAGATGAAGCATAATTACATAACGTACTCATAAAGAAACGGCTGCATACCTATTGTTTTTTTTGCTTGTTTCTCCATTTCGTTCTTTTTTTTCTAAAATGGGGAACATGATGGTTTAGACCTTTTCATATCCTTCTAATCCAGTTCACCTTAGCGGTGTGTAGACTGGCTTCATATTATTCTTAATGAGAAAAAAATTCAATGTCTGTGAAACTGTATATTCACAGTATTATGAATGAATTGTGGTTTATTTGGTTGCATTTCATAGTGTGACTGATTTTACTACTTGCATATTTACTGTACAAAGTTAAAGGTGCGCTATTTGATAGCTTCCCCCCCCCCCCCACCCTGAGGTCAGCCCAGCCCCATCCCCCTCTCCATCTCATACTACCTCACAAACTAGAATCGGGGTGCTCATTCCAACTAGGCTAACTGCTTCACAAGGTGACATGATATCATTGACCAGATATGCAAATGAACAATATTGAACCAATCGTGCAAATGTCACCATTCCGATCCGTCTTTACCTAAATCCGCCAGTGGCAGGAAGAATTCCCACTTTTGAAGGATGATGAATACAGACGTTTCTGTGTTTCAGGGGCCTTCATGGCAGGAGTTCCAGTGCAACCAGTACTGCTGAGCTACCCCAACAAACTGGTACGTCCTGCATACCTAGTTAAGATGCGCCTTCTCTCGCCTCGGTGGATAGCACCCGCAGCCTGGGTGAGCTGCACCTGTCTCTGAGACAGCTGAATAAACGGCGCTTGTGTGTTACAGAATACTGTGTGCTGGACCTGGAAGGGGACAGACTGGTAAGGGGCTGGCTTATTACTACTCCAGTGTACATCATGAATGGGTGGTACTGGTGATCTTGACGGTAATAACTGCTTTCTTACTGCATACAGGATGGAGGTGGTGTGGCACACTGCATCTCAGCTGTATACCAACATCACCGTGGAGGTGCGTCCACCCTGCCTGACTTTTCCCGTTTTTTCCCCTTCTCTTATTTGCTCTGGCCACACTGTAGATATTTACCATCGTGTCAACTGATGGCTAATTTCTGGCCAGCTACCCTCCTCTGTCCCACATTGCTTGTTGGTGAATTCTTCGTGTCTCTGTGTGGTTGCAGTACCTCCCAGTCTACACTCCATCTCAGGAGGAGAAAGCGAACCCCACCCTCTATGCTGCCAATGTACAGAAACTCATGGCTGAGTGAGTCCTCTGCAGACAAGCTAAATCCAGACATATTCCGTATCTGAACCGTGCCGAGGAAATTCTGTATGAATGTGCTTACTTTTCGTTGATCTGCTAAACTCCTGTGCATATGTTAAGTGTTCTGTATTGTGTGTGTGTGTGTGTGTGTGTGTGTGTATTTGGTAGTAAGTGGGTTAGACTGCTGTCACAGGTTGTGTGATTCATTGTGGCTTAACTCATCAGGAAGTTGGGGATCCCAGCCACTGATTATGTGTTGGAGGGCAAGATTCCAGTCCAGAGGATGGGGTGTTTGTCCCTCCCCGTGGAAGCTCCAGGCAGAGAGACTCTAACCCTCCTACAGCGTGCAGGGTGAGATAAGGGGCTGCACTGTGTCTCTTCCTGTCTGCATATTTTTATACGTTATTGTAAGTTGATGTACATGCTTTTTAAGTACTTGTCTTGTGCTTTTTGAAATAATATGATGTGCTCTCTTTCTCAGCCTTAGCACATCCAGTGTGGAGAGCGCGTTGAGAAGGATGATGGACCGTTGTCAGTCAGGCCGGGAAAGTTGTGTCGGCGTAGAAGAGCTCGGCTCACTGCTGCAACTGAAAGACAAGCGGAGAGCTGTGGACATCTTTGGCCTGTATTCAAAGGTGCAGCATAACGGGCTCATACCGCCAATGTTATTGTTGAGTATATCTGTTAACGTGACGTTAAAAGTGGTTCTCTCTAGAGGGGCATCTTCAGGCAGACTTTTCAGTACATGGCGAACTAGCACGTAACAATAATTAAATTAGCGAACACTTGAACTCTGATCCTGTAAGAAAGGAAGAGAATCTATAAACCGATATCTGGTGTCTGTTGTCCTCATCTGTAACCCACTGCAAGAATAGACATGGATAAGTATTTGTGGCTGTGTGTTTTTCATGTATGTCTCTGCGTTTAGGAAGGCCGGATGGATCTGAGACAGCTGTGCCTGAGTGTAGCCGCAGTCTCGGGTCTCTGGAGCCTGGAGTCCCTCATTCAGATTGCTTTCACTGTGAGTATCTCCCTCCCACCCTGTCCGTGTTTTGATTTGCGATATGAAATATATAAATAAAAAATGACATCATGCATATGGATGTTACAGCTCTTTGATGGGGAACGCAAAGGCAGCCTAACTTCTGGGGAGTTCAAAGAGCTGCTGGTGGCACTCGTGGGTTTCTCACAGAACAACACGGAAGAGCTTTACTCAGGGATATCCAGCAGGGGGCAGCCAACCCAGGGTAAGAAAAGCTATGGAATTTTTTTAAAATGTAGATTAACAGTTTGCAAGAATAACAGGAGATAAATTACTGGGTAAACTTTATCTGTTTTTTAGTGTGTTTGAACTACATAAAATGGAAAGTACTCTGGCTTGATGCAGTGTACCTAAGTGGATAAACCAGTGGAGACTAAATACTCAAGACTGCTTAGCTATAGGTTTGACTCAGAAATTTGTTTAAATCACCATCACTTCCTGTTTTGCTATGTCTGACAGAGGACCTGAGGACACTGCTGACAGACCATCCCACTTATCAGAAATTGTTTAGGGAGTATCTGAAACCTGTGGATGTGTCAGGCCATGGCGTGTTAGGAAATGGCATTAAAGAGCTGGTCATCAACGGATCAGCTACATCCCACAAGAAAGATGACTGATCAGGTGAAAAATGGGCAGGGCATGATCTGGGACTTCTAGCAGTCTTAGCACATCCAGTGTGGGGAGCGCTTTGAGGAGGATGATGGACCACTGTCAGTCAGGCCGGGAAAGGTGTCTGTGTAGAAGAGTTCGGCTCACTGCTGCAACTGAAAGATATGGTGTGTGCTTTGCTGCATTCTGCAAAGCTTGTAAGAGTCTGTTTGAAAGCAAAGTGCCATGACTCACTGTATAGAAGTGTATAAAAGACTCTGAATATGAAGAAAACCTCTCACATTTTATATGTCTTAGATAAATGTTGTATGGTTTGATGTCTATTTAATAAATACTACATAATAAGGTATGTGTTTTTAAGAAATTTTCAAATTGCATTTATTTTACTTTTACAATTGCGCTGTAAATGAAGAATGCCAGAATATTAAAAAATATAACTGGAACAATAGTGTCATTTTTGATCTGAAATGTCTACTCACTCTACAACTGTAGCTTTTCACCCATCTGCTGCCTTCTTTTAGTTCCTGCAGGTCCCCAGCCTATAGGTCTGTCTCTCTGACTTGTTCTCCAGTTTGTTCTCCTCACACTTATGTTCACCTTCCTCACTCTGCCTCGCAGTGCATCCCACTTTCCTTGCATCACTCCCCCCATCCTTTTTATTTATTGCGTCCTTCAACATGACCCAGCCCCCTTCTGAGCCTCATTTTCTGATCCTGACTGTGATCCTCTCTTGTCTTTCATTCCCCCTCTTCTTCATGCTTCACTCACTTCTTCATTTTACCCTTCTGCTCAGCTTTGTTTTTCATGCTTTTAGCTGATGTTTTTCTTCCTCTCTCTCTTTTCCTCTGTCATATATGCCTCCTCATCTGTGTCCTGCTCTTTCCTTTCCTTCCCCATCTGGGTCTGTCTTCCACTGAGACTGCTAACCCCATCTGCCTTATCCACTATTCTCCACTTTCAAGCAGCATTGTTCGGTGTTTCGCGTGTGCCCCATTTCTTCCAAGCGGCTTGGTATTACAGTGTCCAGGCAATTCAGTTTCCCTATGTTTCTCCTGTCTATCAGGAAATAATGTTTCCCCTAATATTAAAGCAAAGAGGTATGTGAAATGTCTGAAAATCACTCAGGTACATTATTACATGCGAATACAGTATTGTTATTAGTACCGAGGCCCAGAGTTGCTGTATACCTGTTTTAACAGGAGGGGACCTAATATCCTGGATGTCAGGAAATAATGTTTCTCCTAATATTTAGGCAAAGATGTATGTGAGATGTCTGAAAATCACTCAGGTACATTACATGTGAATACAGTAGATCGTCACGCATAATAGTCTTATAAGCAATACTATACCGTTTTCATCAAGAAATATCTCTATTCAGCGAATTAAATAATTTCATTTATTACCTGTAAAAACAAAAAACATCGAAAAGGCATGTGATGTTTTAAAATATATGGCTTTTTTACCTCAAGAGCTTCGTAAAAAGACATGAAAACAACAGCGAAACCGTGTACAAATCAGCGCGCGACGGGGGAAACATAAGGAAACTGAATTGCCCAGAACGGCAATTTATTTAGAGTCTTGCCATCCAAATCCCGCTGGATCTGTTCATCCGACCGTATGGCGATTAAAGCCTGTGTTACCTCGTTTGTCCGTCCATCCATTTTACTTTTTTATATTTTTGTTTCTACTGCTTTTTAATTTGTTTCTCGCTGTTTAATTGCTGCGGTTGTATTTTGTGTTTCAGCGGCAGGCTATTTGCATAATCAATCGATAGCAAATACTTTTGCAAGTCCCACCCCAAAGTACCGCAGCTGGTTTGACACTTTCGGTACTGGTACTCGACCGGAAGTCAATGAAGCCCTAAATGCCTGGATCTTGGTCTTTAACCAGGACACCTGCAATCCCAGACACTCAGACTGCTCCCTCAGTCTCTCAAGAGCCCCAATCAGGGGACTTCTTAGGCATAAAACCGAACTGCTCCAGTCACTGACAGGCAAGGAAGTGATCACAGATCCTGTTAAGGATGACCCTAGCAAGGACCTTACTGGGCACTGAGAGCAGTGTTATCTCCCTGTAGTTGCTGCAATCCAGGCGATCACCCTTCCCTTTCCAGATAGGGACTACAAGTCCCATTTTCCAGTAAGTTGCGATGATGCCTGACTCCCAAATGGAAGCAAAGATTGTCTGCAATGGCAGGAGGACAGCCTTACCACCAGCCTGGAGAAGTTCACCCCGGACACCACAGATCCCTGCAGCCTTCCCTGCCCCCAGCTGATTCACCACCCATGCAATCTCAGTGAGACTGGGTGGTTCACAGCTGATCTATATTCAGCTTCGAGAGCCGTGGACCCAGAGATGTCCAACATCCTAGCTGGAGGGTCAGCTTTAAACAACTGCTCAAAGTAGCCGGCCCAGCGGGTCACAACTGCAGTATCATCCATAAGGACTGTCCCATCACCCACCCTGACTACAAGTCTCCGAGGAACAGATTCAGATGTGCGTAATGCTTTGATTCCTCTGTAAGCAGGGGTGTAGACTGGGTATGGTTGTGTGGCAAAGAGGACACACTGCAGATCATTGACCGCTTTCACCTAAGAGGGCAACCATTACAGAGATTAACCATCATCTCTATTCATTAGCATTCATCAGTAATGACAACAGTTGACAATCATCTGATGTAAGTCTACCTCATATACATGATAGTTAAATTACTCACTGTACATTTGGGCACATAGCCAATTCCCTAAAGACACTACTGTCCCATTTCCACTTTTACATCATCCTGATTAGTTCGAATGCTGCATTCTTGTCTGTCTGATTCCTGTTTTCCCTTGGGTGTGGCTCCAAATCAGCCATGCCTATGACCTGTCAGTCTTACCTCTTATTCCTGCCCTGCTGTTGATCATTCACAGCTGCCTTTTGTTTTCTCCTCATTAGCCTAGTTTATAAGCGTCTCAGTACAGTGCCCCTTGTCAGTTCATTATTAAGTGTTCATGTCTTCTGTAAGCCCTGCATATTCCAATTAAACTTCCCCGTAAGGGGTTTGTATGTTCAGCCTGCAACTTAGGTCGTTCTTATATCTGCTGACTCTACCCCGTTCTCTGAAAGAATATCTAATTTTTGAGCACAGATTCTGTTCTGTTCTTAAACAGTGCAGCTTCAAACACTAACTGCCTCATTTCTGGAAACAAATGGTGCCCCCCCCCCAATTTATTTTACATAAGCTTACATTAACTTTTTAAATTTAATTACAAATTTATTTTAACCGATATATGCGCGAGTCATCTTAAATCGCTTTAGATTGTAAGTCAGAGACAATCTATTGAATTTCATTCGTATCACTACTATATAGTTTTTGATCATATAGCTAGGTTATGCATGGTAGGCTATATTCCAAATATGCATGTTGTATTTCCAGCTTAATTGATTAATTATCTTGAATCGCATATAGTTTACCATATTTACACACTTACCTAGTCAGTTTTAGTGACTAGTAATAATTGCCTTGCTCGTATTTAGTCGGTTTGAAGAAAACGTAGGGAGTTTTATCCGTTGCGTCCGATTACAATCGAAAAGACGCCTTCCAAACTCTGGTCTATGGAAGCCCGTTTTATACCGGATGAAGTTACTTTAGGAACTTCGAGGCAATCAGTAATACATCCTAACGATAGAGGGCGATGTTCGATAGTTTGAGTTGAAAATACTCTTGGCCAGGACGCCTGTGAAAATTCAGTGGTTATTCCGGAAATCCGACAGTGTTTACGCTACACGCCGACAGAACGAGCTTCACGTGTAGAATTAACATTCTGTTTATTTAATTTGGCGTCGTAAAATATACTAATTTTGGAAAAAAAAACACTGATTGTTATTAACATCACTTCTTGGTCGTGTATACATTTGTTGGCCGCCATGTTTTTGCAATATTACTTAAACGAAAATGGAGATAGAGTCTATACCTTAAAGGTAAGTTGTAAAGCAGTTCGTGTATTTTAGGTGCATTATTATTTGTGTTTATATGTAAATTAACTATTCCAGATGTGAATGAATAGAGTAATTCGATAAGTAGATTCAACGTAGCTGCTTTTGGTTCGTTAATGGTTAATTGGCCTGAAAAATAACTTTCAAGATTAAGATTGATCACAGGCTGAGTTTTTGTGCAGGCAGCAGCAAAAAACTACAAACGAACATAGTTATAGTGCCAAACAAAGTGAAATCACGGTACTCATAGTGCGATCATATAAACGTGGTGTCAATTATTTAAAATACACAGTACACAAAGGATATCCTGAAAACAGACTACTGTAATTACAGAAATACAGGTAGTAATTACTTGGCGTATGATATATGTGCAATTTAAAAAAATAAAAGGATACTCAAATTCTACGGCTTTTAAACTTACTTTTTTAAATGAATAGTTGGGTAACCCAGCTTTCTCAGGAAGTGTAGTTACTGCGTCTACTACTTGAGAGGAGAATGTTAAAGAAAATAATACTGGATTTTGAAACACTGTGCTATGACGTGTGTATAAAACTCATTCCCTTGACACTACCGAGTTTAAGAAACTCATCAGTGTTTCTTGATGTCTTTATTTTTCTCTATGCAACACAGGCTATAATTTATGTAGATGTTAATACACTGCACTAGTCTGTGTATACATTATTGATAATACATATTTTACACCTATCTTCCAAGATATAGCAATGTAACCAAGATGAGTGAATGTAGTGTGAGAATCTGCACAAGTTAATGACAAATATGCATATATATGTTTTCATGGTACTTAAATTCAGCACTGATCACTATTGACGTGATTTCAAAATGTTCTCATAGAAGCTGGATCCTTCAAGTCAGCCAACCTGTTCAGCCCATCCGGCCCGGTTTTCTCCTGATGACAAGTTCTCCCGGCACAGAGTGACGGTGAAGAAGCGCTTCGGCCTCCTGCTTACCCAGCAGCCAAGACCTATCTTGTAACCTGGACTTTCACTCAAAGTGATGACCCAGAGAGCACCCTTCAATCCCTGACCTGTTGTCACACATTGACTCATTTCATTATGGACTCTGTATAACGTCTTCCATTCATGTCTGTGGATAAAAATCACATTGGAATCTGACCTGCTATGTGATTATATGCAGTTTTTTTAATCCCTTCCATGTACTCCTCATGTTAACCCGAACCTATGAATATTTTGTTAGACTTTGCTTGAAATAAAACCATTAAAATGAAAATGGGCCAAGGCCCCAGAGTCCAGATTTTCAGTGTTCTTCATTAGTAGTGAGCTATTAATGTGATTTCTTGATATGCATGCAACCAATATGGTTTCTAATCACAAAAGGCTCAAAATAAGTTTTATAGGCCACCCTAATTAGAAACCATGTAAATATTTCACTTGGCTTTTAAGTGTAATTGTGCATCATTCAGTCCAAACCTATGCAACAAATTGGGTTGCTTTAAACCTGATCCTTCGGCATGAGTAGAGATGTCACTGTTGTTTGGACTGACAAGAAAATAGATATCGTCATATCTCTTAGACCCACAGGTAGAAATAAGTGGAGTAGGCTACTGAGGGTGTGCCAGGTTGTAGCAGAATTTTCCCAGATTTGTGCAATTTCCCAATCCAGTGACTGAATACTTTAAGTCGATAAATATGTATTTCAAAGGAAAGCCATTATTCACAGGCAGCACCAAAAGAGAATGTTCTGGACAGCATTTTATTAAGCAGAAATACAGTAATACAAGTTGCAGTCTTTTGACCAATTATCAATTTCAGCAACAGGCCGACAATGAGAAACAGCAGGAAAAGACTGAAAGGAAAAGGGAGTGAGATTTTAGTGGTAATCATACAAATACATTTGATACCATGTGGAAAAAATAAACATTTGACCCACTTGATTTAACAATCCACTAACTTTTCAGAGTTAACAGTAAGGAAATTAGGTCTTGACCAACAGTTCTGGCCAGCTCTCTTCCAGAAAAAGCCTGTATCTCATTAGTTTGTTGTGTATTGCTGGTCCTGCTACAGAAATGAAACTAAGACATGTTCCTTGTCATCCCACTCCTGTCAAACGTAGTTCAGGTATTAGAAAAGGTATTCTTGTATTTCTCAGTCTTTGTGTAGGAAACAAGATCACTGGGGCTAGCACACATCCAATATCTGCAATACGACATTCTGTCATAGACCAATTTGGCATTGTCCCCATTACCCTCTCCCAATATTTTCAAGGTTTTCTTATATATCTGGCCCAATTATCTGGAATTTTGACCACATATTATTGTAATAATCACAACACATATAATCTCTAGTCTTACCGTTACATTTCAAACACACTCTTAAACTGGCAACAACGTATGTACGCTAAAACGATTATGACTAGTAAACACCGCAAACACTGCATAGTTCCCACTCGTTCTCCATCAGAGAAATAGGTGTGTGAATATAACGATTAATAAAGTAAATATTCCAGTAGGAGATAAAACAATTAAATATGATATATTGCACTAACCCTCTCCCCCGCTACTTTGTTTCTAAAATAACCCAATCTGTCGTAACTCTGAAAACCCTGTGGCCTGTACTACGAAGCGGGGTTACTGTCTTATCGGGGTAACTTGTTGGATTTAAGGTAGTCTGGGCAAAATGTAAGTGAGTGAATATGAAGTCCATTTAAACTGTGGTACCTTAAATCCGGCAAGTTACCCCGATAAGCCAGTAACCCCGCTTCGTAGTACAGGCCACTGGAATTAATGGTTATGTTCTACCAGCAGCCCACGTGCGTAGAACTGCGCACGGAACAAAGCGAAAGAGGAAGTACAGGCCGGCGGCGCGCACGCCTGGATACCGAGGCGCTCGGCGGCGCGCACGCAGCAGCTCAACGGACACTGTACGCGGCGAGTGGACGCGCCTAGGATTCGCTGGAACCAAGAAGAGCAATGAAAATGCGGACACTGGGAACATAAGGCGCTAGTAGGAACCACTGGGTAAAAAGCATGTTTTCATCCATTTCGTAATGTAGTTGTACAAGGACAAACCGGCAAATCCTTAAGCGCGGAAGTTATTACGTTATATGAAATGAAAATAAATAAGCGGCAGGTTCGAGTAAAAAACAAGTTGGAATAAATCTGAAAGTACTGAGCTCTACTCAGCCGGCTGGAATTATACAGCCTCTATTGACTAATTTGTCTCCTTGATTGATTTTTATGGATAGCTAATTTACCTTATTGTAAGATACTGTTAGTACAATATGTCGCGAGATACATTTTTACGTTGCTTACACCGTATATAACTAATAAAAACGACAATAGCATATAACACACCTGGTATTTGAATTATATTGTAGGCTTGTTTAATCTGTTGGTTTAAGACATTTTTATTGTCTGGTTTTTAGTTGGTCGAAGCCAGAAACTTAAGCTCGCGTGCTTTATTGGGTTAACCGGCGGCGATATTTGCGTGTCTTCAAACCGCGTCCACCTGCCGGTCCCCAAATCCAGCGATGCACCGCCGCCAAATTGTTCATGAAAGGATTCCCTCGGTGTCCGACTGAAAGATACTCAGCGGCGGCGCAGACTGGCCGTCAGGCGTCCCGCCTGTGCGCTGCTCCCTGTCTGGGGACGCGTGCGACTCCGAGCGTTCGCCACCCCGGATGCCGGCGCCTCATTAGTCCCCCGGCGCGCAGATTGTCAAACATGTCAGCTTATGTACCCACGCCCTTACGCCGCGGTCTAGTGAAAACATGCGGGATTTACCGGTAAGACCCAAACCCCGACAAGCTTGCGATGCGCTCCTGCCTTTTTAAATAAATAATCTCTTACGCCGGCTGCTGCGGCAAACTGGCTGGAACCGCTTTGGTGTATTAGAGAAATAACATCTTACCGCAAGGAATCGGTCCCCGGCCGGACAGAACCGCCCGCTCCGGGGAGCTACGCCAGGTTGCAGCTCAATTCAGTTTTTCTGTGGGAATTTCACGGCGTTTTAAGTGACGGTGTGCTTGTAAGAATAGGACAATGTTATTTTTGTCTGACCATGACGGGCCACAAAAGACGGGGGACTGCAATGGTGCTGCTAACTGCACATGAATTTTTAGAGGTTAACATTTATATCCTCGCTTTTTAGTAGCCAGCTTAATGCTTTCTCTGAATATCTGGAATATCTGTGATTTACGTTTGATATTAACGTAATTCTTTGAATTTCTTTCACCCCCTCCCCGCCCCCACCCCAAACACAATAGCACCTTAATTTTGCAAAACCTGCAGGTTAATCTAACACTGATAAAATGTTGAACGAAACCATGACGGAGGAAGTACTCATTTCTCCGCTTAGGAGTATCTGCAGCAGTTAACTGCAGTACATCCGTACCACTTTAGTGCTAGCATATTCTGAACTAAAATTCCACTCAAAAAGTAGTTTATAATTACACTTTTATCCATCAGAATGAAGAGCCATAAATGCACACATAGTTATATGCCAGCAGAGAGATATAAACGAGTGTGAAAAGAACCTTTGCATAATCCATCCAGACACACTGACACATAATAGCAATGACTTCAGTACGGTTTACTGTGACGCCGACCAAAGCAGAGGACATCCCGGGCTTGTCGGACACATCGCCAGATGTGAGCTCTAGATCAAGTGGCCGTGTGCGTTTTGGATCCCGCGAGAGTGTGAGCCGCAGCGAGCCCCCGAGCGAAGCGTCTGGTGCAGTCACCACCTCCGCGGGAACCGCAGGGGCCGATACACCTGACCGGAGCAACACTGAGCAAGGTGAGAGAGCTGTCTAAGGAACTGTTTCTCATGCTAGTTTGTATTACACTTCATCTTTATTGCAATGTGACTGAAACTGTCATATACTTTGCCAAATGAATTGTGTACAGCAGCACACACGTGCATCCTCACATAGATGCATGCTAATGCAAATGAGTTGTAATTTAAGGTCTGTGATTTATGCTGATGACACTTCGACACAGGGGTTCTTCTAGGGCTGGGCAGTTAATTGAATTTTAATTTCAGTTATGATTTTGGCTTCCAGTGATTATCAAAACAAAATAATGGAGATGAAATGATTGTCGCATTTTGTTTCATAATGATGCTCCCATTTTGTCTTGTTATAAATCCAGTGCACCCCTTTCCAGCCCCTTTTTTATTTCTCTGTTGAATTATATGCTCAAGGAAATGTACTGTTAAAAAGACAAGTTTTTAAAATTAAAACTTCAATAAATACATGATATTTCGAATGGGTCGAGTCAATGAGTAATCGTGTTGAATAATCACGATGTTGATATTGACCAAAATAATCGTGATTGTGATTTTTGCCATAATCAGTCAGCTCTAATTTTATCGCTCTCTGAATATGGGTGAATGGAGGTGGTGGGAAGCAGGTTGGGTCTGTAGCGTCAGACCAGCATAAGATTGGAGCTTTAAGGCTGCTGTCCAGTGGCTCTTTACACATCTGTGTGTTACTTTGACCATGTGCTGTTGGAATGTGTCTGTTTGCTGCAGCTTAAGTGCTGAGGTGACTTATGCAGGGTACACTCGCAACCTGAAACGTCCTAATAGGATGCAAGCAAGCCAGCTGGCTGGCCTCTGCACCACCTGGTCTGGGCCAATGAGGAGACGATCCTGAATAGAGACCAATGCAGTAGTAGTTAGTGCAGTAGGTGTTTGCGTAGGATTCCATGTAAGGTTGTGTTGTATTCTTTAGAAAAGCACTCACTTTACAGTCCTTACAGTGTATGCCCAAAAGCATGTGGACAATGAAGCCATAACCATTGCTGACAAGTGTATTAAGAACACATTCACTCAATTTCCAGCAACAAACATTCGCTGCAGAATGGGCGGTTGTACAGAAGAGGTTAGTGACTGTCCACTTGGCGTCATCTTTCCAACAAGTCAGTTCACAAAATTTCTGCCCAGCTAGAGCTGTCCAGGTCAACTGAAAATGAGGTGATTGCGAAATGAAAATGTGTGGGAGAAAGTTCAGTTGTGAGGTGTTAGGACACACAAGCAAATAGAAGTTATCTACATAGTCTGTCAAATAAGTTAGTGGTGTTGCTGTGGGTTGTGCTGACGCAAAACAGTGCCAATAAAACACTTGCTTTTGATCAATAGTGTCTCTATTGAATCTAAAATATTTCAATACATTAGAATACAGATATCTTTTGGTGACTGATTCTTGCTTGGTTTTCTTCTCCTCACTCATCTCTGTTAAATTTCTCACAAACGTACCAGACTGAAAAGATGAAAGTGATTACGATTGGCTCA